GACTATTTCTTTACATAAATGTTAGAAAGTAGCTTATGGTAAGACTTCTAATCTAATAATGCTTATTACGGTACAGTGACCGTCTTCACAGAATCAGCCTTGTGGTAAGACCAGTTGTTTATCTGAAGCCTAATAGTAACAACATTTTTGTTCTAGACATTTTCATACAGGGATAAGGTTGAAGATCCCATATGAAGTCAACTTGATAGTAAAAATTCTGCTCTCCTATACTTTCATTTCAGTCACTTTATTGGTAAATTTGTGTTGTTAGAGTCAGTAAAATATTAAGGTAAGAATAGCTATTTGTACAAGAAGTCAGCATAATGAAAATTAAAGTTATTCATTTTTATTTCTACTTGATAATGGTTTTATATGAAAACAACCTAAAGGTAAATTTGCAGTTTCTCTAGTCATATTTAAATTAAGGCAAGACATGCTGTTCTTCTAAAAAGTCAACCTAATGGTAAATATACTGTTGCTTTAGTCATGTTTATGTTAAAGCAAGACTGACTGTTCTTCTGTAAAGTCAACCTAAAGATGAGTATCCTATTGCTTTAGTCATGTTACGTTAAGTCAAGACTGACTGTTCTTCTGTAAAGTCAACCTAAAGGTAAGTATCCTATTGTTGTATTCATGTTATGTTAAAGCAAGACTGACTGTTCTTCTGTAAAGTCAACCTAAAGGTAAGTATCCTGTATTGTATTCATGTTATGTTAAAGCATGACTGGCTGTTCTTCTGTAAAGTCAACCTAAAGGTAACTATGCTTTTGCATTTGTCTTGTATATCTTAAAGCAAGATTGACTGTTCTTCTATAAAGCCAACTTGATGGTAAATATAATGTTGTTGTTGTCATGTTTATGTTAACCCTAGAAAGCCAGCATGGAGTCACTATGAACCCATACAAGTTACACCTGTATACTAAACTAACCATACTGGTGTTTTATGGTTAAGGCAAGACTGGCTGTTTTTTTATAAAGCCAACTTGATGGTAAATATGCTGTTGTTGTAGTCATGTTACATCAAGGCAAGACTGGCTGTTCTTCTTTAGAGTGAAATTGATGGTATATATAATGATGTTATAGTTATTTTTATATTAACTCTCCTATAATGTTTTGGTTCTATTAAATCTTTCCTTGGCTTCCATATCATTATGATGCAATTGAAAGAGTAAAATCTTGGGAAAGAAAACATATTTTATAAATTCAATCCTGTTTGAAATTGAATCAGGTCAATACGATACAAAACATATTGGAAGGTAATGGCAAAAGTGGCTAATCCCATATGAAGTTAACAATTAAATCAGCCTAAAGGCAGGGCTTGAAAGTAACTTTTCCAAACATTAGCCATCAGGGTTATTGAATGAAAAAATCCATCAACCCTCACAGATGTTAAGCTAAATGCATAAATAGTTAAAATAAATCTGAAACTGATTAAGTGCTTGATTTTATTAAATTAATTCAAAAATGTATTTCTTTGAAAAGATAACATTTATTAAAAAGTATAATAGTCTTTCTACACAAGTTCAGTGTGCTCAACAGACCTATTGTGCTACAGATTTCACCTTTTGCAATCTGTATTTTTACCAATAACTACTACATATCATGTGATTTGATTAAACAATGAACCCGACTCTTAGCCTTCATATATTATGTTGAACAGAGTTTACCAGTAACTACTATATGACATGTGGTTAGATTAAACACTGAACTGACTCTTGACTTTAACATATCATTATGATCAAAATTTAACAATAAACATTGTATGTCATGTACTTAGATTAAATACTGAATCTGACTCTTGCCCTAAACATGTTATGTTGACCAGAGTTTACCAATAACTACTATATGTCATATGGTTAGATTAAACACTGAACCTGACTCTACTCATAATATTTTATGCTTACAGAAAACTGCTATACGATATATAAATGAAACAATATAAACATATTTTAAAAACTCTTTATTGCTATTAACTTAAAATAAATAAACAAATAAAACCACACATACATAAAAGCATAAATATTGGTTTCTTGTCCTCCAAGAGACTCTTCAGTTTCTAATACAAGGCTCTCTCTAACAATGTAAAACTTCCCACATTTTATATATGTTTTAAACTCCCTCTGTGTGTTAAACTATGTAACATTGAATGTGGTTGTAAATTTATTAATAAAATAATCTCTTATTCTTTACACAAGAATACAGAAATGGAAATATTTGGAAAAAAGCTTTTTGTAAAGTATTATATTTTCCATAATACACTTATTAATGTGTTTATTAACAGGTGATGGGCTATTATTTGCATTTTTGACATGAGATTTATGTAAATTTATTGTTAATTGTAAGTTTTCTGTTTCTCCAACATACATTTGCTTACAACAAATAATACATAAATAACATTATGTGAATTACAACAACATTTATATTTAAGGTAATTGTTATTTTGTTTATAAAGGCAATATACATCAACAAATCTCTGGAACATCAATGGGAACAAAAGTGACTCTAACTTATGCCACTTTAGTGATAGAATATTTTGAAATTCAAATGTTCAATAATTTATTAAATTGGTTTGAAGGTAGTTATATTAATTACATGAGACAAATTGGAAAGGGTTTCTAGAAGATTGTTTTCTATTATGGAATAAATCCTTTCATTGTGGAATTTTTGGAAAATTTGAATAACATTAACCCTAATATAAAGATTACTTTTCAAATGAGTAACTTATGTTTATCTTTTTTTATATATAGATAATAAAAAAAGAAAGATAGTATGATTGAAATGGATTTATAGCACAAACCTACTAATTCACACCAGTGTTTAGATATTTATAGTAATCATCCTATACATACTAAATTAAATTTTCCATTTTGCTTAACTCAACTAATTTTTTCTATTGTTTCTAACCCAGTAGTTAACAACAAAGACTAATGAAATTAAAATCGTATCTTAGGAAGTGTCATTATTCAGAAAATGTAATAGAGAGAGGTTATAAAGTATCTATGGTTAAAAAGGAAACTAACAATAATCATTAAGATAAAATAACAAATTATTAGTTTCATAATAACACATTATCCTGAAGTTAAAATTGATATTAATGATATCCAAAAATAACTGAAAAGAATTTCAGATAAAACTAAAAGCTAAGTTTGAAAATAAATCATATTATTACAAAGAAAACCCAAAGATTTATATGCTATCTTAACTCAGAGAAATAAAGTAAAGAAGAATGATGATGGTATTTTTTTCCTGCAATAAACCAATTTGTTATATTAATGGAAAAAGTTATATTCATATATTAAATATATTACAGGCCCTATGTGAAAGAAAATATATTCTATAAACTCCATATTTAATTATAATTCACATAATGTTATTTATGTACTATTTTCTATTTCTTGTAAGCAAATGTATGTTGGAGAAACAGAAAACTTACATTTAACAATAAACTTACACAAATCTCCTGTCAAAATGCAAATAATAGCCCATTACCTGTTAATAAACACATTTCATAAGTGTATTAAGGAAAATATAATACTTTACAACAAGCTTTTTTCCAAATATTTCCATTTTGATGTACTCTTGTGAAAAAATAAGATATTATTTTATGAAAATTATTTTACTAGATGTACTTGTGCAGGGTCCCCAAAAGTGTTCTCTTTCAAGAGTAAATATAATCAAAATTAAGAGTAACAACTATTTTTATTTCTTGCTTTTCAAGTTCATATGTCATGCTGCATTGTAGTATACAGAGTGCATAATTCTTCTCGTGATTCATGGCATGCACATGTTTTACTGACATCACAAGAGTACAAATAACAAAGTTAAGCATCCCTTATGTGACATCATTTGAGTGTCTACTGACTGACTGACAACACACTGCTGTATAGTGGTGAAAGTGATTAAAACAGGTGACCCTTCCAGACGGCCTTCAGCCCCCTTGATTCCTTGTGTGTGTATATATATATATGTGTGTGTGTGTGTGTGTGTGTAAATATAAATATATATATATATATATATATACACACATAGGTTGAATGCTCGAGGGCACCAAAAAACAAAACAGCAATAGAAATAGTTATGCCATCAGAATATGAAATGTATCCAACCCAAATTAAATCATCCTCCACTTGGCAGGTGGTTGGTGCTAATTTTGAGAACTGCATAAAGGTAAGTATCCTGTTGCTTTAATCATGTTTATGTTAAAACAAAAATGGCTATTCCCATGAAATTATCAAGTCATCCTAAAGGTAAGTATCCTGTTGCTTTAATCATGTTTATGTTAAAACAAAAATGGCTATTCCCATGAAATTATCAAGTCATCCTAAAGATAAGTATCCTGTTGCTTTAATCATGTTTATGTTAAAACAAAAATGGCTATTCCCATGAAATTATCAAGTCATCCTAAAGGTAAGTATCCTGTTGCTTTAATCATGTTTATGTTAATACAAAAATGGCAATTCCCCGATGAAGTTATCATGTTAACCTAAGGACAAGTAAGCTGTTGCTAATCATGTTCATGTTAAAGACAAGTTTTGTTAGTACCAACCATTTAATAAAACTTAGGACATCAAACTTAGGCAGTGAGATGGTGTCAGAAATTTAGGTTTTCATGTGGTATGTTACTATTGTCGTGTGTAGATTTTATCAATAATTTTTAAATATTAAAAATGGTTAAGTTGATGGGTTGTTACCAGTTCTCATGCAAAATAATGATGTATATGTGTGAAGTAAATGCTCCAGACAACCTGACATCAACTCAGACTTCCTTCTGGTTTGTTGAATTTTAACTCACACAATCAAAAGAAGCTCTGAGTAACAGCAGTGGACAAAACAGAAAAAAAGATAGGTGAAAATCAAGATTGTTTTCCCGTGATTTTTATATTTTATAAATAACTACAGTGTTAATGTGTTATAGATAAGAGATACATTACAGTGTGTGTGTCACCCTTATTAGCAAGGAATAATTACAACAAAACTGATGATGATAATATTTCTGTTAGGTTCGAGAAAAAAGTCAGCGAAGTGCTCCTCTACATCAACGTCGTGCCTCAGGCATTGCAGATACCAGTAGTGAAAGTGCTCCCAGTTTTAGCGAGGCTGACAACTTTGGTTCTAGTTGTGGGCGACCATTGTTAACATCTCCAGTTCACCAAGGCTCTCCAACAGGTACGATACACTTTTAATTTCTGACAAAGTAAGGATAAACTAGAAGTACTAAAACCATTTAAGTAATCTTGTTTTTTTCTTATGATTCCAGGAGCAGCATCCTACTTGAAGCATGTTAAAATAAAAATTAAGGTACAAAGATATTGACATCACCATTGTGAAACCTCAGACAGTTGATACCACTGCACAACTTGTTGTTTAAAGTCTGTTCCTTGTGAATAATAATATCCACACTCACCATTACAAAATAAGCAACTACCATATAAGACTGGAAAACTGACCATTGATGTATTTATAACACAGAAGCATAGACATAAATCTACAAAGGGGGTACTACTTTGAAAGAAAAACTGACAAGTAGCATACTTGAGGGGGGGGCTGGAGGCATGCCTGCTTGGAACAATATTGTAGTATTCACTGTAGACAATTCATTTTTGATAGTATTTGAGGCTTTTTTACATATAGTTAAATATGTGCATTTAATATGACCTTTCTTGTTACTTTTTACCCATAATTCAGCATATCTGCTGTAGGTAGCCAGTGAAAGAGTAGGGGCAAAGCATTCAGTTTCTTTTCTATACAGTAAAAATTTCTTGTTCTATTCAGGAAGCATGCAGATTGAAAAGTTCTCTAGTGTGTAAAAATAGCTATCATTAGATCTGGATTAAACTTTGACAGAATTTGGTTTTTATCACCCAAGTAGGAATATGTGGTTAAGGGAGTATACGAGTAGTGTATTATTGGTATAGTTTAGATATAGCAAACACTCCTAACTCTACAGTTTACACCACAGGGAGCTATGTCCACAGTTTTTACATTTGGCATTTAAATATTTTACAAAAACAAAAATTGAAAATATATATAAATACAGACATAAAGTCATTTCATCCAAATAAAGATTATAGCAGACTTAATACTTTCCATAAACTTGTTAAGACTGAACTTATTGTTTGCCAAGTTAAAAAGTTTTTTTAAATCTGAGTATACTTGAAATGTAAAACACTCACTTTCTGGTGATGAATAAAAGGTTTCAACCTAATGTTTGGTTGAGATATGGACAGAGAAAAGACATTATATAGTACAAAACAGAAAATGCATATTGGAGCAACTTATGTTGGAATAACAGATGTGATGTACATGTGAAATACTATACCATCAATAACATAGCCTAATGATTTGGTAGGCCACTGGACCACTCTATATATTCAAAGATGCCTTAGATATTAATCTGAAAAATGTATATTTTTATTGCAAATATTATATTGTTTTTAATTACTCTGTAATCAATGATCTTAAGTACTGAAAAAAAATATTTTAAAGCTGTGTTTTGTGTGATCGAGTTGCTGATAACTAAAATAAAGTTAAATGTCATCCATAAATGTTTTAACTTGTAAAAAGCAACTTTCATGTATATTATTTGTAAATTAAAACCTACATTCTTTCAAATTCTTAGCACCTTTATGAATAACACTCATTATACTACTTAGATAAAGTAACCACTATGTTTATTCTCTCAGTAACAACAAAACTTAAAAATATTTAACAAAAGAAAATAAAAAAATAACCCACTAAACTCAAAATAAAAGGCTGTGAATATCAGAGGGTATGCTTTAGAGGCATAAAGTTCAAGCAGATGAAGACTGTTAATTGTCTTGTATTTTACGAAAAAAAAAAAAATATGATTTTTGTTATATTCTTTAATATTTGCTAGAATGACTGAAGTTTATGTTCATAAAAAGAAGAGTCACAATAAAATAATCCGTAGGTCTTGCCTTCTCATGGGTACTTTTGTTTAAAGGTACTAAGACATCAAGTCGTCCCACCAGCAGAAGTGGAAGCCAACCTTCCAGTAGAACACCAAGCCGAGCAGGTAGTGATCTTTCTACAGATAGCGTGGAAGCCTATCGAAGTGCTCGCAAGACGTCAAGAGGAAATACAAAGATTCCATCAAGTACTGGCAGGCACCGAACACCTAGTGGCTCTTCTCAAACATCAGCCACTAAGAGTGCTAGCTCCACATCAGGTACCAGAATCCCTACTGCCAGGAAAACATCTTCACCATCAACAGGACAAACCGATAAAGTGAAAGGTCGAGGGAGGCAGAAGTAATCTCTTAACAAATGTTCCAATAAAAACCTGAATTGTTATCCAGAAGTAGTTAATTAACAAATTTTGAAATACTCTTGCTCAAACTAAGACCTAGCATTAGTGGGAAAAAAGGGTCATCTTTTTCCATCTCTTACTTTCAAACTAACTCCAAAAAGAGTATTAACGTGACAAACTCTTTACACAGACTAACATAAATGAGGCAGGTAGCACAGTTATAACTAGTTTCTCTTTCTGGTAGTTACAATGTACTTAAAAAACTAGTCCAATGTTTTAAACAATAAAAACTTGTTAGGGTGAAAGGCTAATTTTATAGTTTTGAATAAATTATTTTTCATAGCTGTAAGAAGTTCAAGGAAGTATTCCAAGATTACACTCCTGACATTCCATTTAAAAAACTATGATTTGGGAATAGAGGAGCAGTAGAATTTTTCCCTGAACTTTATGCAGAGAATCTCAACTAAAGTTAGCTTTAAGATTCACAGAAAGTGATTATAATACCAAGAATAGGAAGTTCTTTAGAATTGTAATTTCTTCTTCGATGGATGCAGGTGGGGTGATGATTTTATTAAGCATTACTTTATACATAATGGGGATATAGCTTGGAATATGGCAAAGATCAAATATTGTTTTCAGTGCCAATCATCAATCAGTTTTATTGTGTTAAAAAAATCAATGTTTAAGTAAGTTGGTCTTTAGTAGATTTGTGGTAGCTATTTGGTTTTATAATTGCTTGCTTTACCCCAGTAATGTTATTATATAACAACAATTATACAGTATGCCTAAAGATTAGGTGTTCTTTTAAATAATGGAGATTATACATTCCTTGTACAACCAGGGTTTAGGATGGTTGGACTCAGCCTAGGTAAAAATACACTAATTAATGTAAAACTACTGCTTTTTATGTAATTCAATAAACAGATATAATACTAATTTGTCCCAACTGGCATTATGATTTATTTCAGTCAACTTGATTACAATTGATTGAAGTGTAACATAAATATATTAGTTTCAATGTCTCAGTCATGCTGTCTTAAATTCGTAAGACCATAAGTTCAGTTCTTGTGAGTGTTATAAAATATCCTATTCCATCACACAGAAACACGGTGCTATTTGTTAAATCTTTCTGTCTGTATATTAAGTTTCACAATTTTGATGTCACATTAACCTATAATATAAAAATAACAGGTCACTTTTATGGTTTTTTAATACCATACACACACCATGAACAAAATAACTTGAGGATAAGATGAACTGGTTAGGTTTAACCAGGCAAACCACTGTAACTCTATAAAACAATGTCAATCATCACCCTCATTTTTATCCAAATGAATGGTCATTCAGCCATTGCTTATAAAATAAACATTATGGCATCTTCAGGTCTACAGTCACTTGATAGGATGAAAGGCAGATACATTCCATACATGCTTGATGGACTTGATGCATGGTTAGTATGTAAACAACTCTATTTGGTAAATCTCACCAGCACAGTAGTTATCAATCAAAATAAGCTGAAATCAGCCAATTAAAGGATCATACAGCACTACGAAGGTTGAAAAGTATGATCCTTCTCTGTATGTATGTATGTATGTATGCACACATACATACATACATACATATACCAGTTCACTGAATGTGTTCTTCTGTGTTATAATCCTTGTAAAATAAATACAGAGATACAGTGGTTCGTTTAATCTCTTTTTAGTACCATTGTGGGTGAGGTGCTTGGTTCTATGCTGTCTGTATGGAATTCACCCCTCTGGGCTTCTGTGAAATTTGTACACTGAGAACTGCTTATATATGATTCAATTTCAAGAGCAGATACCCTGCAACTGAAGTGAGATATAATCAACAGATTGCTGTCTCTGTTTGTGTTCTTGATGGTTGCCTATCTTGTCCAGGTGTCCAAAAAATTAAATCTTTGACTTGGAACAAGTGCCACATTCTGCTACAAACACTCTGAGATACCTGTAGCCAGTTCACAACAGCATACTGTGATTAACTACCTACCATTTGTACTATGAATATATTGAAAACTAAATTCTGTGACTCACTTCAAAGTAAAAAATGAGACAAAACTGTGTGAGAACACTATTTAAAGTATATGCTGAATGATCAACCATTGATGAGGCTATGCTACAGCGAACATGCCAAGAAATCAGGTACCATCTTGATGTGCTTCATGCGACTAATGGTGCCCATATAGAGGTGTATTAAATGAGGTAAAAAAAACTTTGAAAACCACTGAGTACAATTAAACAAGTCTGATAAAGATATCTTATCAATTGCCTTTGTAATAAATTTTTTAAATTGTAAAAAGACTTTATGGACACCCTGTACATCAGATGACACATGTAATATAGATTTCTTGAAAGTATCAGACTAGTATGGAGTACATAAAATGAAATAAGTAACAGACAACCTGAAAATATGAGATTAGTACTGGAATACATCAAATAAAACAAGTAAGAGAGGCTTCCTGAACGTTTAAAATTATATTTGAGAAACACAAAAAAAGAGTAGTATGAAAAATGTTTAAGATTAGTTCTAGGGTTAGCAAAAAAGGATTATGAAGAACATTTAAGGTTACTTGTGGGGTTAGCAAAAAAGGATTATGAAGAGCATTTAAGGTTAGTTCTGGGGTTAGAAATAAGGATAATGAATAGCATTTAAGGTTAGTTCTGGGGTTAGAAATAAGGACAATGAATAGCATTTAAGGTTAGTTCTAGGAGACAAAAAGGAATATGATGAACATTTAAGATTAGTTCTGGGGTTAGAAAAAGGATTATGAAGAGCATTTAAGGTTAGTTCTAGGAGACAAAAAGAAGTATGAAGAACATTTAAGATTACTTCTGGAAGACACAAAAAAGGAGCATGGAGAACATTTAATAGCAGTTCTTAGAAACAGAAAAAAAGGAGCAAAAAAAATTAAAATAAGTTCTAGAAGACAAAAAGGAGAATAAAGAATATTTCATATTACTTCTGGGAGACATGATAAAAAGTATGAAGAACATTATAAAAAAAAAGAAGATGCATAGAGAATTTTTAAGATTAGTTCTGTAACATATAAAAATTGCATTTGAAGATTAGTTCCAGGAGACTAAATAAGAACTGTGTGGAAAACATTTATTTGTAGTTCTGGGAAACAGAAAAAAAAGTATGAAGAACATTTTATGGTTAGTACAGTAAGGTATAGAAAAGCAGTCTAAATAGCAGTTAGGAGTAGTTTTGAGAGATGTGAAATTAATAAGAAAAACATTTAAGATTAGTGTTATCAGACAAAAAAGGAAGCATGATGAACATTTAAGGTTATGTATCTACATATGATTTAAGAACAACAGGGGATCTATTGGTCCGTCTAGGCTGTCCTGTCCACTATATTAAACTCTAGAATAAAAGCAAAACATTCAAAGCCAGCTTTTACCATTCAAATATTTATCAAGCATTTCCTTAAGGTAACTCACCTACCACATCTGAAGGCAATCCATGCCATAAGCCAACCACCTTGTAAGAAAAATACAGCTGTTTTAGATAAAGATGACTCCTACACTGCCAAAATTTATATCTGTGTCCCGTAGCCTTACAATTCTCACCATTAAGTACAAAAAAAAATGATGCATCAACAACATCAATTCCCTTTACAATCTTAAACATCTGAATCAGATCCTTTCTGACTCTTCTTGTTTTGAAGAGAAAACAAATCCAGAGGTCTTTGCCTATCCACATATGACAACCATTTTATCCCAGGTATCATCCTAGGAGCTCAAGACAGAATATAGTACTGTACTTCTTATGTGGCCTAACCAATGACCTACATGATGACATTATGTGATACTTTGTCAAATTGTTTCTGAAAATCCATATACACCAAATCCACACCTGTACACTGAACTACATAAGAAGTAACTTCTTCAAAGAATATCAAAAGATTTGTAAGGCATGATTGTTCCCTAGTGAAACCATGCTGACTATCCAACAAACATTTAAACTTTGATAAATGACTTTGCAAAGAATCTTTTATCAAACTTTCAAAACCTTTTCCTGTCAGTGATAGAAGACTAATAGGCCTATAGTTACTGAGACAGTTTTTATCACCTTGAAAAGAGGAGTAACATTAGCCAACTTCCAATACCATTCAAAGACTTAGAAAAAATAGTAGTAAGTGACTCATATATCCAATCCTTAACCTCCTTCAAAACCCTTTGGTAAATTTGAGCATCTTGTTCAGTCTTGTTTCCATCTTGCAACTGTTCAGGACGAGGAATATTGCTTAAATCTTCATTAGTAAAATGTGAAGAAAAAGTTAAATTTAATAACCCAGCCATCCCATAATCATCAGATATTAGCCTTTCTGTGTCGTCATGTCAAAGGCTTTACTCCCATCCTAACATTTTGCTTATCCTTAATGTATTTAAAAAAGTCCTTACAATAAATTTTTACATTTTCTGCCAACCTTTTTTTTTTCCATAGTTTTTCTGATTTCCCATTTGACCAATTTTATTTGTTTTCTATGAACTTCCAAATATCCCATCTTTGCAGTTAATTTAAACTTCTTAAATTTGGATTTTTTTCTTTAATTTTATCCTTTATACCTGTTATGAGCCAACCTGGTGTTTTTACTTGCAGACACACTTTTTTTTTATACAGAAAGTGCCTATCTTGAATATTTAAAAATTTAGTTTTAAAATCTTTCCACATTTAATCAGTACCTTCAAATAATTCAACTGTCCAGTCCACAGGAAAAAAATTGTGCCTCATCTCTTCAAAATTTCCTTTTTTTGAAGTTTGTAACCAAAATCTCCATGTGCAGCAAAACATCAAACTTAATTGACCAATGATCACTTGCACCCAGATGTTCCCAAATCAACTATTTATATACTACGATTTAAAAATAAATGTAAAATAACACTTTTCCTTGTAGTTTTCTAACCCAATTAGTGAAGGAAACCATCCTGAACAATTTCTAAAAAACCTGTCTCCCTAATGATTTGACTCTAAAATTTTCCAATCTATATGCCTGAAATTATAATTTCCCATAATTATTACCTAATTAACAGCTGAATTCTTTATCTCACTTCAGAGTTTCTCATTCATTTCATCTGGTTATCTTTAACAAATTCCAACTAAAAGCCTTCTCCCCTTACAACCACTGGCAGAAACCCAAACTCATTCAACCTCATTGCTATTACCTTTGATATCCTCAAGTTGAACAGGATGTAACTCACATTTTACATATAAAGCCACTCCTCCCCCCTCTTTTTAGTACTCTTATCCCTATTAAACAACCTATAACCCTGTATTTCAAAGAAATTCCTGATCAAAATTGCCTACATTTAACAAGGCTTCAGTTATTGCCACTACATCAAAATCTTCTGTTCCAACCAGCCCCTACCTCATTTAAGTGTAAACCATACATTCAAAAAAGCTCTCCTTTTCCCTTTGAAGTGATCTTACAAATCCAACCAGCCAAATTATTCGTCCTTACATATTAACCTAAGCTTAGCATTCAACCCTAGTGACCTACTTATAATTTAATTCACAAAACTAAGTCTTGGCAGTATCCCTGACAGAATTAAGTCATTATGACCCTTTTCTATGAATGCCTTTATCAATGCCTTATACTTGACAATTAGCTTCTCTAATCTTCTCTTCCCTACCTCATTAGCCTCTATGCACGCTACAAAGACTGCATAAGTGCTAGCAGTCTTTATTATATCACTTGCTCTGTCCGATATATCTACCACTCCTGCCCCTGGATACAGCATAATTTAATTATTTTTCTCCCTATTTACCCCACAGACTATCCTATCCACATGCCATAATAAAAAATCATCTATAACAATAACCTGCTTAGTTTTTCATTCCCATCCCTATCTGTTCCTTTCTTTTTTTATCATTTCTTCCCCTTGTTCCTCATCTACACAGGTTGGAGG